GTTTGGTCGATCGTTGGACTCGGCATTCTTCGAGAAACATTCTGCCTGCACCTGCTTTCGATTTAACCGATATTCATATGGATAGTTATATCCTCGTTTTGGAATATGTATATATTCCGATTGGATTTGAATTTTGGAAAACTTGAACGTATACGGACTTAGAGGGTGCAAACTGTTTGGCGTCGAGGTCTTTTGCGGGACTGGGCGATTGGTCGCTTCACTTCGCAGCTTGGGGCTTGGTGACAGCTTGGGTGTAGATTGCTGTGTGCACAAGAGCTCGATTGCCCCAACCATGCGGCTTGACTTGGCCGAGAGCTCAGCTCAAACATTGCTTTTTCAGATCCTCGAGTCTCCCTTTTGTGCTTATGTTCATCTCGGCCCACCTAGTGGCGCCGGGTCAATCCTTCGTGGTGCGAAACAAGGCGCTTCGGCTCCCGTGGCGACTCGCAGTGCTGACCACCCTGATAGAGTGCCGGGTCTTGCAGGGGTCGAGGCTTCGAGGGTCGGTGCCGTTAACAACTTATGCGACCTGTGTGGTCGTATCTTTTCCTATGCGGTTGCGCATGGGATACTGGTCACATGTGAAAACCCTAGCCGATCCCACATGTGGAACGCCAGCTACTGGCTGAAACACACTGCATGTCTTGATTTTCTTGAGGTTGATTTTCAATCTTGCGTGTATGGTGGTGAGCGCCCCCGAAACATTCGGCTCGTCCACATGGTCCCTCACTTGGAGGGCTTGAAAGCTTCTTGTCCGGGCGTGTCGTCAACACATGTGCATGCACCATGGCGAGGAACCAAAGCGGTGCTTGTTGACAGTGCTTATCCCGTCGAGCTTTGTCGAGTTTGGGCGGAGTTGTTGGTGTCGCAGCTGCTTGATTTGGGGGCCAAGCCGCTTCCTAAAGAGCTTAGTGATGCTCAGCCCAAGTTGCGCTGGGCTGCTCAGGCTGCGACTTCAGTTCAGATCCCTCGCAAGCGCCTGCCACCTCTTGTTAAAGAGTGGAAAGAAGTCATTCAGCTTGAGTCGCATAGTCCAATTCTGCCTGGAGTCACTAAATTGAAGGAGCCTTTTCTTTTGAGTGATGAGATTCGCGGAAGCCTTCCATTGTCATCTCTTCCAGAGGGGTGCAAGGTCCTTCGCCGAGAAACGCGTGGGGTCGGTGGCTCTGCTAAGGACACAAGTGTGGTGGTGGTGATTGACGAAGACGACAGTCAGGTTGCCCCATCGCCCTCGGTAGACCTGGTGATTGACAAAGGCGACAGTCAGGTTGCCCCATATCCCTCGGTAGGACCGCCTTCTTCGTGCCGTGACCCTAACACCCACCTGGGAGAGCGCTCCCCAGGTGCCCGCGTGTGCGAAGACCTCGGCTGGATGACTGTTCACATCGGGCACAGGGAACTGAGCATGTGAGGTGGGCCCTCTCACATGGGTGCTATCTGACGGCTTCATGCCAATGATGTCACTAGGAAGTCGGTCGAACATTTGATTGAGTTGCTGTCCCATGACGGTGAAGAGCCTGCTAGGTCATCTGGGACCCAGCTTCAAGGCGAGTTCTCCTGGTCTTCAGGTGCGTATGTGCATGGCGTCGTTGGCCGCAGACAAAACCTGGCAGCATTCCCGTGGTGCACGAAGCTTTGCACGGCTTTGATCAACCACTGGGCACCTGATCTTGCGTACACTTGCATCAGCCTTGTCAGGAACGTGAAGGCCCCGTTGCATGTCGATCGTAACAACGCTTAAGGATCCGAGAACGCCATAATTGCCATTTCTGATTTTTCAGGTGGTGGCTTGTGGGTGGAATCGAAAGAAGGTGGTGTCCCCTGCTCTGACGGCCAGCATGACCTAAGGGGAGATGTCCTCGAGTTCCAGGATCGGGTAATCCGATTTGAGCCCCACTTGAAACACAGTACGATGCCATGGAGTGGGAATCGAGTTGTGCTCATTGCCTTCACAGTCCAAGGACCGTGGAACATGTCCAAGGACTTGGCGAGCGACTTGAGTGCAACGGGTTTCAGGCTGCCAGACATGTCTAAGCCTGACAAAGAACAAAAGTCATCAGAGGCGAGGGCGGACCTGCCACAGGTTGTGCACAAGGCTGTCGTGGGGGTTCCTTGGGAGCCTCATGAGTTCATTGAGCGAGCTGCGCGTGCAGTTCACCCAAAGCACATCATGCATGGTCTTCCAGCACGCCTTAAGACAGTCATTGACAAGCTGGCGACATCGACACCAGGCGAGGTTGGGCAGCACAGGGTGGCCGAGCTTCGCAAATGGGTACTAAGGAAACAGGAGCTACGAGAAGCTGAGTGTGCGTACAAGGCCGACATGCCGGACCACTGTTCAAACATCCTTCGAAGCAAGCCTCTTTTGTTGTTCCAAGAGATGTTGAGTGAGTGTGGATTCGAAGATGAGGACCTCGTTGGAGACATCAGTCAAGGGTTCGAGATCAAGGGAAAATTCCTAGTTGCAAAGCTTTCAGACCTAAACGAACAAGCGCGAGCTTGACTACCGAGGATTTGAAATCATCTGCTCGTCAGTTGCGAAAGGGTATCATCAATTCCACGCGTGGGTCAGGTGCCGCTAAGCTTGATCGGGCTACTATGGAGGCAACGCGCAAAGAAGTAGAGCGAAAGTGGTTGTGGGGTCCGATTCCAGAGTCTGACCTCAGCGACACAGCCATTGTCACAAGGAGGTTTGGCATATGGCAGGGCGACAAATGTCGCCCGATAGACAACTTCAAGGAGTCAGGTATAAACGCTACCACGAGTGCTATCGACACGATCACCGTGCATACTGTGGACTGCATTGCAAGTGGGATTTCATATCGGTTGAGCACTTGGCGAGACAGTCGCAGTTTCCTTGACTTGGTGGCCAAAACATGGGACCTTAACAAGGCCTACAAGAACCTACCACTTCACTCTTCAGCTGTTGACGACGCGTTCTTGTGTGTTTACAACCCTGACTCTTGTCAGCCAGAAATATATGGCCAACGAGTCTTGCCTTTCGGAGCCCGTGCATCCGTGCACGGGTTTTGCAGGACTTCGCTGGGATTGTGGACGATATGCACTTCGCTTTTCTGGCTGCATCTCAACGTGTATTTCGATGACTTTATTGGCATCGAGTCGGTTTCTTTGGCGCGGATTTTTGATCTTTGCATGAGCGGGGTGTTGATGCTTCTCGGCTGGGACACGGCGAGCGACAAGGACACCACTTTCTCAGCCTTGACTAAGGTGTTGGGGATACAGATCGATCTTTCCGAATGCCGACTAAACCGGGTGTACTTCGAAAACACTAGGAGTCGCCGTGACGAGCTGGGTGAGTTTCTTGGTACATGCATCTCCAAAGGCCATCTGACAAAAAAGGACGGCGAGAGACTCAGGGGCCGCTTGCAATTCGCAGAGGCGCAGATTTCTGGGAAGCGAGCGGGTTTGGCTTTCGGGTGTCTCAGCAAACATGTCAGCAATGGTGGGGGTGCTCTCGATGACCGTACGTTGGAGGCCCTCGGCTTTCTTCGCGACAGAGTTTTGACTTCACCACCGCGTTTTATCAGCAACAACTTGACTTGTACTTGGCATCTGTATGTGGATGCATCTCATGAGCCGACGACTGCCAACCCAGGCGAGGTCGCTGGCATTGGTGGAATTCATTACAATCAGTTTGCCAATCCTACAGGTCATTTCAGCGAATGGATCAGCAAAGACGATGTGGCTCGCCTAGGCCGTGAAGGCAGCGAGAATCCCATATTCGAGCTTGAGTGTTATGCAATACTGGCTGGACTGCTGACTTGGAAGCCAATCATTCAAGGTTGCAGCGTAATTGTTTTTACTGACAACGATGCTGCTCTCATGAGTATGATCCGCGGTGTGAGCAAGAATGGAGCTGGAGCCAGTATAGTTAATGCTGTACGTAGCCTTGTTGATCTGTGCAACATTCCGATATGGTTCGAGCGTGTCAACACGCACAGCAACATTGCTGATCGGCCGAGCAGAGGCGAGACTTGTGACGAGTGGGGCTCTCGTTCACATGTGAGTACGACCGATGTGCTCGCATTTGTGGAAGGCTTGGGGTAGTTTGTGCGAGCACTGAGTGCCACACGTGTGTTCGTGCATTGTTCTGAGAACGTGCACTGTTGCAAACCGTCGTTCACCCCAAGCTTTGTGAAAGCAAAAAGAGTGAGAGCGTCCCAAGTTGTGTTGCACAGATTTGTTATCGAACTTGAAGTTTTTATGATATGATTGGAAGATTTCCGATTGTACATCAAGTTTGAGATTGAAGTTTAACTTTGCATATCGCGATTATCTACATGACAGGAGAACGGTTCGATTTGGG